ATCCCAGGACTCCGGGATCATGACCTGAGCCGAAGGCAGTCGCTTAACCAACTGAGCCACCCAGGTGCCCGGATCTGTAACTTTTAAGAAATACAGACTCTCAGGCACAAGCCAGCCCTACTGGACCAGTATCTGGGGGTTCTTAATAATAATTCCAGGTGTTTCATATGCAGGTTGAAGTGTGATAAGTGCGAAAAGAGACTGGTTCTCAGTCTGCACATCAGAATCACCTGGTGAGCTTTAAATACCATAATGAGTGGTTCCTACCCCCCAGGGATATTCATTTGTTGGGTTTGGTTTGAAACGTGGCATGAGATAATAGAAAAAATATAAATATAGGTCTCTGCCCCTGGTTCCTGATACAGAGCTCCTAAAATCCCTGCAATTTCTTAAGTGATAAGGGCCTGGGAGCATCTCTTGTGCTAATGAGACAACTCTGGATGGGCTCCTGGGTGGGGCTGGTCATCAGAAAGACCAAGCCATGATCAGAAGCTTGGGAACTCGCAGACCCACCCCCATCCCCCTTCTCTAGAGAGGGGAGGGGCTGGAAATGGAGCCAATGGTCAATTATGCCCACGAGAGGAAGCCTCCATAAGATCCCAGTAGCAGGGCATTTGGAGAGCTTCCAGGCTGACGAACACATCCACACCAGGAGAGTGACACACCTCAGTCCTTTAATAGACTGATAAACGTGAGTGTTTCCCTGAGTTCTGTGAGCTGCTCTAGCAAATTAATCAAACTCAAAGAGGGGGTTGTTGGAACCTCTGATCTATAGCTGGTCGCTCAGAAGCCCAGAATGTGTGTGTGTGGGGGGGTGGTTCTCGTGGGGACTTGAGCCCTCACCCGTGGGACCTGATGTGTCTTGGGGTAGACGGTGGCAGAATTGAGTTGAATTCTTGGACACCCAGCTGGTTGGAGGCTTGCTTGTTGGTGCGGTGGGGTTGGGGGTGGGTGCAAAAGTTCAGAAGGACTCCGTGTGACAGTAAAGGGGACACAGGAGGTGGAAACTGTTTCCTTACCTGTGTGGAAGTTGAGTGTCAAACCCTCTGTGGTGGTTTGGGGGTTTTTGTTTGTTTTTTAAAGATTTTATTTTAGGGAGAGAGAGAGAGAACAGAGAGTGAGCAGGGGGAGGGGGAGAGGGAGAGGGAGAGAGAATTCCAAGCAGATTCCCCACTGAACGTGGAGCCCTAAGCGGGGCTTGATCCCACAACCCTGAGAACATGACCTGAGCTGAAATCAAGAGTCCGATGCTTGATGCTTGACCGACTGAGCCACCCAGGCGCCCCCTTTTGTGGTTATTTGTAATGCACAGCAAAGGTTAGGAAGCTGGAGGTAGAGCACAGAGAGAACACTACATGAAACTGTTTTGGGGAACACTCTGTCCTGAATCAAAAAGAGCAAATGACACTTGTCAACCTAAAATTGTCAGGAGACAATATCGAAGCAAAAGCATTTATTTGGGATCAAAGAATTGCAATGCAGGGTACAGAGATGTGGGTGGCAACCCAAAGAGTGTCTCACTAGGGAGCAGAAGTCAGGGGTTTTTAAGGACAAAAGTGAATGCTTGAATACGTTGCTTACGAAGAATTTTGATTGGTGTCAATGGCAGAAAACGAATCTTGGCTTACCATAACTGGTTGCTAAAGTCCATTACTGTAAGAACTTGCAGGTGTGTTCGTGCATAGTCCTTGAGATATTTGTGGGTTGGCCCATTCAAAGTTCATGGTTCCACCGGGTGAGGACAGGCATAAGGCCCGCCTCCTGAATGACCTCCTGGCTCCACTTGAAAACCACTGGGCATAAGTGACACCATGTCATTTCAACTTTCACATTCTCTTCAGCGTGGGATTTCCCGGGGGGGCCGGGAGCAAACCAGATGTCCCCTTTCTCCCTGTGAGATTCTGTCTCAGGAGAGCTTCTCTGTCTTGCCAGGGCCATATTCCTAACAGGCAGTGTGATAGGACTGTCCAGGCTGCCTCCTGGTCGGGGACCCCAAACCCAGGAAAAGATGGAGGGAAATCAAGAGACTCTTTACCCATGCGGGTTCTTCAACTTGGGGCTCCCCAGGTTGCTTTAATGAGGATTCCTTTGAAACAGAAATAACACCTCCAGAGCCCCCATCAGGGACTGCAGAATAACAATATGATACAGCCATTAGCTTCCAAGTCTCAGTGAGTCCCCAGGCTCCTCTGTCCCTGAGCTTGCTCAGCATGTTGGAGAAAGCCAAGAGCAGTTGGAAACGTGAGTCCTACAATCACCAGCAGTGCTTTGATAAATGGGAAATTCAGGTTCCACAAAAGAAATTCTCATTACGTTGATCCAGGAACCTGTGATCTGTGTTAGTGTCCCGAGTGTTTTTGAGGCAGGTGATCTAGAGACAAGAACTACGAAAAACCCACTGGCAAATCTTGACTTAAAGATCCACCTAGTAGGGGCACCTGGGTGGCTCAGTTGTTAAGCGTCTGCCTTCGGCTCAGGTTGTGATCCCAGGGTCCTGGGATCAAGCCCCGCGTCGGGCTCCCTGCTCCGCGGGAAGCCCGCTTCTCCCTCTCCCACTCCCCCTGCTTGTGTTCCCTCTCTCACTGTGTCTCTCTCTGTCAAATAAATAAATAAAAATCTTTAAAAAAAATAAAAAATAAAAAAAAAAAGATCCACCTGGTATGCATTTTGATTTTGCAGTGTAATTTCCAGCATTTGATATTCTTTTCTTCTATGACCCAGCTGGTCAGTTGGACCAACCTGGGGATGAATACATTTGAAAGAAGACCTTTGTCCCCCTTTCTGTATTTAAAAAATTTTTATTTCTACACGTGAATAATTATTTAAAACATACATGTGACATTTGATTTCTTTCCCAGAGTATGCCTGAACACTGTATTCATTTAAGGACATTAACCCATCCTTCTTGCTGCTAACGCTTCGTCCATGTTGGGAGCTGAACTGAGTGTTTTACACACTTTAGATCATTCCATCTTTCTCACAGCCCTGATTCCCAGGGTGGATGTATAGGCGCCAATGGAAAGAGAGAGGACACATCAGGTGTTGGTTTGCCAACTGGGGAGCTTCCCAGGTGAACTCTGAAGCCAGCCGCCTACACAGAGGGCAAGGAGAGACCAAAGAGGCACATCACTCTAGATGGGTAGGTGGCAGGTGTAAGAAGCAACACACACATACGTATGTACCGTACTGAGTGAAACTCATGCATACAGACAAGATGATCTACATTTCTCATATGGGAGAAGTCAGGGCTGGTTGAAAATGCACATTTCATATTTTAATATGCACAAGATTCTAGTGAGGTCTTATTACAGACTCTGTTTCAGGAAGTCTGGGGTGGGCCCTGAGATTCCACATTTTAACAAGGCCCAGCAATGCCAAAGTTATGGGTCCATGGATCACCCCTTGAATGGCAAGGAGCTAGAACATTAAGAAAACACTCCTTGGATAATTCTAAAATCAAGAAGTTTATGGCTTGTTCCTGGGTTTCGGCCGCTACAAAAAAATGTTTCCACAAACAAAAGGTCTAAAATAATAACAATAATTTAACACATACATTAGATATCATTTAACTGTTTATTTTATAAATATTTATATTATAAATTGTTATTACACCAATGTATAAAACCACAAATTAATCCATGAGATCTCATCATTCCGATTTTATGAGAATATTGTATAAAACATCTAGCAAACTGTTGAGACTGAGTTTGAATCTAGTTATTGGGCCTAGAATTTAATTTAAACAGATGTCTGGAAGAGGTTTAACAATTGAGAGAAACAATAAAAAGGAGATAAGAAGGTAACAACAGATAATGGTTTTAAAACATTTATTTGGTATAAATCAGGTAACCATACGCTAATTAAAAATTGATAGAGTGGGAAGTATTCATCGTCATAGGAAATGTTCAAGACGTCTTTCCAATTCTGAGTATGTTTTTACATCATCGTAGAACTATTTATAAGTCTTGGTTTTTGAAAATATCTCTGTATATTAATAGTTTCCACTGATCTAAATTTTAGTATTTGGGGACAATAAAGATGCCTGTATTATGATTATGATTCTTACTGAAATAAATGAAATAGTAGTTCATACAGATGAGAGGGGCAAAATGCAATTGGAGAAAATAGAAAATTTCTGGGATGGGGATATATTTATAATGATGAGGAATATCCAGTATGAGATGTGTTTCTAGTGGGCACATTTAAAATTTGGGATTTCAGATTTCAAATTCTCAAGGCTTAAAAGTCAAGGTTTATGTGAACTAATTTTGTACACCTTTTTTTAAGATTTTATTTATTTGAGAGAGAGAGAGAGTGCCCGCGCGCGCCAGTGGGGGAGGGGAGGTGCCGAGGGGGAGGGAGAAGGATAAGCAGGCTCCATGCAGTGTGGAGCCTGCTGCGGGGCTCAGTCTCAGAACCCTGAGATCACGACCTGAGCCAAAACCAAGAGTCAGATACTTAACCAACAGCGCCACCCAGGCGCCCCTGATTCTTCTTTGTAAGATCAACCTAAAGAAAAAAAATCCCTAGGGATCTCCATTTATGTAAGTTGTGGATCCATAATCTGCATGACCTGTTTGGGGAACTCATGGGCAATTTCCTTTAGCACAACCTCAGTAATTCCTACGGTGGGGTGAAATAATGAATTAACGGGAAGACCGTTAATGCCATTTGCCAGAACTGTCTGAAATCTGCGATGGTAGCGCTCCCCCCCCCCCGTACTTAGGACCCAGCCTTCTCCTGGAGCCTAACAAAGCAGCCACCCAGGGGGATAGTGTTCCCTTCACTTATGAGTGCCCGGCAAGTGAAATTAATGGGTTTCTAATTTGTAACTTCAATGTCGATGTCATCAAGGAAAATATTTTAACATAAAAGATTGTAGTTTCGGGGCGCCTGGGTGGCTCAGTCGTTAAGCGTCTGCCTTCGGCTCAGGTCATGATCCCGGGATCCTGGGATGGAGCCCCGCATCGGGCTCTCTGCTCGGCGGGGAGCCTGCTTCTCCCTCTCCCACTCCTCCTGCTTGTGTTCCCTCTCTCGCTGTGTCTCTCTCTGTCAAATAAATAAAATCTTAAAAAAAAAAATTGTAGTTTCAACCAAATTGCAATATAAGCCCTCCTCTCTCTAGTCTCCCTTTTTTCAATACAACACCTTGTGGCTCTGAATGAATGCAGGTTTCCTCTTCCAGCTGAGACCAATTTTGTGTCATCCTCGCTTAATATTTACTCTAAAGTGGATTTTTCTGTGTTATATATCTGAAGTTTTATAGCTTTCCATGTACATGACAAAATGTGAATCCGCATCAGAAATGGCCATTTATTTTTTACTATAAATGGCCAGATAGTACATCTTTTACTCTTTGTAAGCTGTGCAGTCTCTGGGCAACCACTCCATCCTGCCCTGGTTGGATCAGCAGTATGTAAACACAGGGCGTAGCTGAGTTCCAATGAAATGGGGCACTGTGGTCCTGGAGAAGAGCCTGAACCAGGCCCTTTTGGATCTGCATGCCCTGGGTTCTGCCCGCGCAGACCCCCATGTAAGTACTCCTTTCATCCACATTTAATTGGGCAAATTTCCCTTTGAGCCTCGTTTCCCCATCTGTCACACTGTGGATGCATAAGTGGCCAACGTTTTCTCCTCTTCTGTCACTCAGCTCTGTGACTTCCTGGAGAACCACTTCCTAGATGAGGAGGTGAAACTCATCAAGAAGATGGGCGACCACCTGACTAACCTCCGCAGGCTGGCCGGCCCCCAGGCTGGACTGGGCGAGTATCTCTTCGAGAGGCTCACTCTCAAGCACGACTAGGTGGAGACCAGCAGCCTTTGAGGGGGCCCCTCTGACAGCCCCCTGCTGCCAGAGCTTGTGCCTCAGCCTCTCCCTGCAGCCAGGAGACAGCTTTTTAACCACCCAGGAGCCCTCTCCCAAGCCTTGGACCAAGTGGAAACAATAAAGCTTTTTGCCGCAAACAAAACAAATGGTGGCATGACTGAATGAAACTCCAGGCTCCCTCTGTCCCCAGAAGTAACAGATGAGCTGGCAAACATTGTCAGAATCAACATTTGCAGAAATGTGCAACAAAGAAAAAATTCCAACCAGAAGGCTTTCTATCGGAAGAAGATGGTGCTTTGATCTAGGAAAGCAAGAGCACTGGGGTGTATTAAATGGCCTGCCTGTTGTCACAAGCCTGCCCCTCACTTCTGTTCTTACTGCTGATGCCAGAAAGAGTAATTCGAACCTCCTCTCAAAGAATTGTGCTTGAACATTTGGACCCATCTGCCTCAAGGTAGGGGAAGGGCTTGCCTTTGCTTCATCAGAATCCTAATGTTCCCAGGACTCGGGCAGCTTCCCAGGCCTGGAGAGGACATTGAAGCTCCGTGCCTATTGCCCATACCTGGCCCTGGGCCCCTCTTCCGTCTGGCTGTTCGTGAGTTCTACCCTCTTATAGTAAACCCCTAATCTCGTGAGTAAACTGTTTTCCTGAGCTCTGGGAGCAGCTCTAACAAGTTGATCAAACCCACGGAGGGGGTTGGTCAGGAGCACTTGGACAGTGATGGAGGTTTGAGGAGGAAAGAGCACCTGGACAGTGATGGAGGTTTGAGGAGGAAAGA